TCCGCTTCTCGGGGAGTCACAAACTTCAGATGCAAAGTACAAATGTTTTCACATTTCTCTCTCTCTCGGCAAAATGCAAATGCAATACAATGAAGAAGTAGATGAAAAGTTGCCTGGAAATTTATCAAAGTTGAATTTTCCTTTCAAGCATTTTCATTCAAATCAAGGATATATGTTTAGTTGAATGGGGTGTGATTTCTCATTAGCTATGCATGAAATTGAAATGACGTAAACTTCTTAAGTTAATAAAATTGCTCGATTTAAGAAGAAATAACTTTAAGCTACAACTACAAGGAAATAATTTTCCAAACAAATATTATTTACTTTCGGATTATTATATTGTCATAATTATGTAAAATACTCATATATCATGGATTTTTAATCATAAGTTCATGATTTTCTAAGTTAATAGCAAACGAATGAAAAATAGTCAATGATTTCTATTGCATTAATTATAATCTCGACGAAGTTTAAAAGCATTTTATAATTATGAAAATAGTCTGTAAGTTGCCTCCAATAGAACCTCCATAACTATTTAACTTGGCAATGAGTCAATCACTTCTGTAGAAACTCGAACTTCGTTTTCACCCGTCATAATTTTGATTGTGACTCATCGCATGACGTTCACTTTGCGGACTCTTTTTATTAATCATTAATAAATATTTTTCTTTATTATTAAAAGCGACAACGAATAAAATCAGCATAATAAATCCACACATGCCTTGTCTTTATTCCCCGCCCTGCCACGCCCTACGCCCCCTTCCTGTTTGCACTAAACATGGAATGCAAATGAAAGAGACAGCAATCGAAAGAGAGATAGAGAGGGTAAACAAAAAATTTGGCATTAAAATTTCAGTCACATTTCAAACCGAGGAAAAAATCCAAACACACAAACAGACAGAGACAGATGTAGATGGAGCGAGGGAGACGGGGCTAGAGGGGACAAAAGTAAATAAGTAAGCAGGGGGCAGCTAGACAAGGAGAGAGCTTCTCCGGGGGAAAGAGAGGGAAATGGAGTTGGAGCCATGTTTACATAAGCAAATAGAATACAAATGGTAGAAATGGATGCGGCAGTACTCCCCATCCAAAACACATAGAGTTTGTATGCACTCATTTATGTATGTCCCTATATACTGGGACCCATCTATACAATATATATATATATATATATATGACCAGCTCAGTCACGTCCCGCCCATTCACTTGGAAAGTCGATGCTCGATGTGACTGATTACTGCGTCCATGTTCCTGCCTTCGATGTTGTTGATGTTGCTGCCGTAGATTTTGCTGTTGCTGGGGGGCTGTTAATGACAAACAAAGTCTGCCATTTTGAACAAAAGATTTCAGCAATGTTTACACGAGAAATGTACTTTGAACTCCGACAGAAATGCATAGTAATGTGGGAGAGGTCAGTTTAAGGGGCCTAAAAGGACTCGGTGAAATTATCCGATACAAATTGCTTATCTTCTGTGAAGTTTAATACTAAAATTTATTTATTTATATTTTATATATATATTATATTACATACAGACGTTTTGAATGTTCCCAATGAGAAATTGAGTTTGGGGGCAAGATTTACAATTGCTAAGTCTTGAACAAACAGATGTCAGTAAATCCTACCTTATCAGCAAGCTTGATCTGACTGGTAAAATTTCTCCTTCAATTTAACCCATTTCTCTGCACTTGCAATGATCCTTTTCCCATTCCCATGCATTTCTCTTGGGGAACTTACAAAGAGTTTCTGTATGTTGTGTACTCTTTAATATGTAGACGACGTAGCCGATTCTTCACCGGAGTCCGGAGCGGGGTCTTCATTTGAATATTTGGTTGTTTACTCAGTATTGAGGTTGATTTTCCCCTTTTTTTGTGTTGGGTATCTGTACTTTGCCGGTAATTTGTCTGCGGATCAAACAGTTGGCCGCTGGGGCGGAGGAAAAGGTTTATGCAAATGCCATGATTGAGGGGAAAACCCAGCCGAAAGTCGTCTTACCGCCGAGTGATAATTTGTTTGTTACTTATTCATCAGTCACTCGACACTAATCAACCTAAGTAACTCCGCCCCGTGGGAGCCACGCATGTCCTGGCGACCAGAGCCAGGATTCCTCCTGCAGTCAGAGAACATAAAACATTCCGCTGCATAATTGAGGAGGATGGAGCAGCGAATTTATGGCAGCTTCCCCTCATATGTCTTTGGAGACTTATTTGTTTGTTTGAGCCAGGGCTCCATGACAATTCCTTTTGCATTAAATATTTTTATGGCCTCTGGCTGCTTCAACTTTTATTGTTTTATGGCCCGTGTTGGTTATTTCATGAATATTTCACGGGAAAAGCGAACTATGATGGGCATTTCCATAGAGCCTAGAAGTTAATCTCTTTAAGTAAAATCAGGCGGTGGAATTAAAGTCGGGCGGGAGGTGGACGAGGTATATACTCCATGTGCGAGTGTGTGTCCACATCCACCAGATACGACGATGCAGCCGGAGCAGTGGAAGTCAACGACAGTGAACAGCGGCGTCGGCAGCTCCTTTGGCAGAGACTAACGTTCCCCGCACGTGACGCGCATTTCCAATTGGATTTATGATTTTAATACTTCGTATTTTTTCATAAGGCAACGTCTTCTGAAGTAGCAGCCAAGGCAGTCACTCCGCCTGCAAATTATGGCACTGCAATCGGTGGCGGCGGACTCCAAAGTTTAGAGAGTCCGGGGAGGACAGGGTCTTAAAGGAGATACGATCAACCAGGAATTGATTCCCCGATATGCAGATGAGCGTTAGATAGGCACTGCAAGACATCAAAGTGCAGATTGCTTTACGCACAAAGAGAAGGAATTTATGACCTCAGTGTATACAGTCAATGGATAACATGCTGACAATAGGGTTTGCAGACATCGGTAAGACAAAAACAACTAGATATGATCTAATAGGCTAGTTGATTCCATTAACCCCTCAATTGTTATATATATTTGCACATTCCGTCAGACACTATATCTCCGATCTGTTCCCAAACCCAATTTGCCTTGCCCGTCACATCGAATGGGCCATAAAATTTGTTAATTCTCCGCCGCGGAGAAACAAAAACCAAAACAAAATCAGGCCAGATCTAAAAACGAAACGAGAGCACTTTTTCAGTCTCGATCGGATCGGATCCAGTTTGGGTTAAGGTTTTAATGGCGCACAGAAGCACGGATCGCGGGGAAGGGGGGCGGGGGAGTTGGGTTTGGGTTGGAGGGGGAGGGGGAGTTACCTGATGCCCCACCTTATCTCAAATGGGAAATCATTACGACTCTATCGCTGCCTCGCTTCAACTCCCCGCCTCATTCGCTCTTTTTATGGCCTTCTTGAGCAGACAAATCAGAGGTCTCGTTTCTCGACTCAGTTTATGTCCCAACTTTTGTTGTAAAAATATTTTTAACAACATTTCACGTAATTTCCACGACGACAACTAAATAATTACAATTTTTATTGCACTTACAAAAGTATTTCTCACACTTTTGCTTAAGTGAAGTGTATTCAAGTCAAAAGTAATAGAAGAGAACGATGGTTCGACTCATTGCTTAAAATTCAGTTGCTAACATGTATATATTGATACATCTAAGATGTAAATATAAAACTCCCTTTTTAATGACACTGAATTAATCTACTTAACTCGGTAAATGCTAATAATGACAAAACATCAAATTAACATTGCCCGAGGGGGTCTGCAGACAAATTGCTGTTTTATTTAAATGAAACTTCGCGTTTTAAAATTGCAAAAAGCACAGGCTCGAATAATACGCCGTGAAATTGTTGCCAAAGGAACAGGATGTGATAAGGAGCTTTGAACGCTAGAAGTTCAATTCGCGATTTGATAAATCTCCGACAATTTCGCACACTCGTGTGTATTTTTTCTAAACACTTGCGTCCTCTTATTGTCAAAACAGCGAAAAAACAGGAACAGAGGGGGAAGTGCCAGTAGGAAATTGGTGACAGTTGTTGTTTATTGACATTCGCTCGAAGCCACCGTGAAAACATTTTAAAATTTCTGTAAAACATAAAAACAAATCACAGAGGGAGCGTATTGCCAAAAGGCAAACCCACAACAACAAATTCGCATAATATTTCACACCAACTTCCGCCGGTTTTCGTGTTGAATTTTTTGTTTTGTTTTTAAGAGTTACTGTTTGTGCTTATGTAATCGGCTTGTTCCACTGTGGCTACGGGTAACGGCTGTCCCAGTTTTTTAGATTTGATTTTTGGGTGGGAATAGATAGATGGCAGTAGATAGATAGTTTGCAGCATATGTCGATAATGGAAACAAGAGAAAAATTCCACTTTAAAACATATTTGATATGGGAACCATTGTTAATAAATAAATAAACCAACAATTTTTAGGGTAGTAAAAGTTGAACAACTATCTTGAACGATGATAATGGAAAGAAAAGACAACTGGCAATGACAATTTAAAAAATATTTAACTTTGTTAGTATAAATAAATAAGTTTTGCATCGTGGAGCCAAAAATCATTCTCTTATTTAACTTCGCTGAGAAGTAAGAGAAAACTTCATTAGCCATTTATTCCCCCAAACATTTACCATGCTTACTGTTTAAGTAGTCATTAAAAACTTTTAAGCTAATGGAAGTCAAACTACTTTCTTGAACTACGAACTTCCAGCATGTCACTCCCCTTTTCGTAGTTTCATATGTTGGTTGCATCTTTCAATTAGAAATTTCGCGCTGTCTCAGCATGAAAGCACTAAAGCACTAAAGGGACAAGGACATCATAAAGTGTCATTAAACTTTCGGCAGTCTCGAAATGCGTGACTCACGAAAGAGCAAAAGCAGAAAGGAAAGAAATTAAGCGAAAGAGAAGCCCCAAGGGAAACAGAAGGATAACTAAAGCTAAGATATGACCCGAAATAATCTAAGCATTAGCATACATAATACATAACATGCTGATAAATCGCACAGGCCACTGGAATAATTTTCCAGCTTGCTAAATAATTAATTTAAATTGCCGCAATCTTTGTCTCCGCTTTATTTATGTCCGAGTTCAAAACCAAATCGCAAATCTCCGACTGTCATCCCCGTCTAAGATTGGTTGGCTTCTGTTTTCTGTTTTCTGCGGTTTCTGGCCCTCTTGGGATGGTCAACTGAATCCGGGGCAGAAGGCACTCGACCATGTCGTGGAGATGGCTCATTTAGATGGTAGATTAATTTTATTGCCCCGAAAACTTCTTGCAAATTGTTTGCGTAATATGGAAATCGTGATGGAGAGTCAAAAATCAGTAGCTAGTTGGGTTAGTTTCGGTTTGTTACATTTCAATGTATATTTTGTTTTAATAAGGGATTCATAGACATCTTCAAGGTTTATTTAGACTTTATCCCTTGAGTCGAAAAGCAGTCCGCACCATCGCTGTTCCACCATCGTTATTTCATTAGCCATCTGCAGTTTATAAATTATTTGAACCTGAAGTCTAGAAATTTATATTTACCAGTAATCGTTTTTCTGCTTTATCTTGATCACAGAAAACTAAACGAAATAATTCGGACAGTTTAAGCAGAGCCTACAAATGATTCCATAAGGATGTTTTATACTTGGATGAGCGACTAATAAATCGAGCATTTCGTTAAACATTACATTTTAGGGTTATTTAAAACTGTGGCGAACTGATTTTTTTACTTAATCGTTATTTTCAAATTATTCAAATATCAAACGCTTTTTTAACTTTATTGAATTAATCGTCGGCACTACTAATATTTTGACCAGCTTAAGTTAATGCCCATTTTGAATAAAGTTTGATTTTGATAAAATACAAAATAGCCAGAGTTTCTTTTGTTTTCAACTGTAGATAGTCTAATCTAATAAAATAGTCCACCATTGTATGAACAGGACAAGTGAAATAGCATTAACAAACAATTAAAGATGGTGGCTATTGGCACTACTATTATTTTAAGCGGAGCTGTGTAGTGGTCTCCTTGCGCAAACTTTCCAATGCTCATCATCACTAAGTGAACGGCCGTCCTCAGTGACATAAACGCATATAATTCAAAATGTAGAAATTTTAAAGAGTTTTTATTTTTGCAATAGCTGCAACTGTATATAAACTTGTGCTTGCAGAAGTTTGCTTCCGTTTTTTTTTGCTATTATTTAGGATTAGCCAGATTATCACCCGTTAAAACATGGATGGAAATTCGATTTCCATTTCGTTGGGCACTCGACTTGACCCTTGACCCTGGAACACCCCTTAGGCAAAACCTGCGTTCAGACAAGCGAAGGTAATTCGTTTCCTGCCTTTCGTTCTTTTCTGTTCCTGAGGCTATATTCAAACCTAATGAAGCATTGGGCCTTGAATGGGGCAGATTCTGACAACAGTAACTCCGTGTGGAGTGACGAAAAGGGGTTACGTTTGGGGTAGAGTTCGAGATTGAAGAGCTCGTGTAACAATATAATTCCACGACCATATTGCATTGATTTAGTTTTGTGAATTAAACTAAGAGAAACTAAGCTGACAGAGAAAACAGATATAACTAAGACTAACTAAACTATTCCAATTAAAGTTGACTTCTAATACATAACACAATTCTAATATTATTCCAAGAAAATACTGCATTGATTGTGTTTTGTGAATTTAAATGAGATAAAATACACCAAGAGAGGAAACAGACAACAAACACTTTGAAAAATTTTCCACAATTAATAATAATAGCTATCAATATGCTTAACAATTCTAATAGTCCCTAAAAGTTGTTATGAAATTTAGTGTGGATATAATTTATAAGCTGGATTTAAAATTTAATTTTATTTAACATTATTTCTCATTGAAACGGTGACGAATTAGGTAATTGTTAAAACTTCCCCGAGTTTCCTCTTTCGTGATTGTAAACATTTTTGACAAATTGAGTTATGTTCCAAGCCCAGAAAATACAAACAGAAAACACTGAGCTACAGATTATTTCATTAGTATTCGTAACGCTGATTGCATTTTAATTAACGAGGCGCCACTCCCCCAGTCCGTATCCCCCGCCCCCTAACCCCTCGTCCGTCTTAACCCCTTCTAGAACTCGAAAAGAGAAACCCGTTTGACACGAAAAATTGCAAGAATCTTGAATGATTTAATTTTAATAACTCAATTTGCTTTGGCACCGGCTCGATTCCTTAAATTGTTTTAGAATTCCGACTGCGATTGCAAATCCACTTGATACATATAATTAAAGCTGCATATATTTGCCACGGTCCAAGGAATTCCTGAATATCGAATAGAGAAAATGCTCGCATATGTCGGGCAGGGATGAAGACACCCCCGCCTCATTTGAGGGTTTGTTTTATGGACAATCCACACTTGATGACCGTGCGATGATGACGATGCTGACGAACCGAATCGAACTGGTCAGCAAGGAAGTTGGAATGTTCGAACTGGGAATTTCGATCGATCGTAAAACCGAAATGAGTATTGCCGGGGCGGCGCTGCTCAATTTATTTGCGGCCAGCGATAAAAATTTTCATGAATTATTAACAGGTAAGTCAGTAAGAGTCCGGTCTGAATATGTGGCGAACTTTGTGGGTGTGGTTCATTGAACCCTTTACGAAGATGAGTTCTGGGGAAATCGATTGTTAACAAATTTGTCTTGCTTAAATAAAAAAAAATTAAATTGTCTTAACAAAATTTCTTATAATATAAATAGAAGTAAACAGATTGAATCTTTCAAGTGACATCTAAGTTGTAGTATTATAATTGGTTTAAGTTTTTGTGCAGTTAGATCAGGTTTATTACGATTTCAATTTTGATATATTACCATTCTTTTGAAACCAAATTAATAACCTTTCCTCGATTCCTTGTTTCAAATCATTACCTTTTCTTGTTCCCACAGTTGTGATTACGTAATGCGATAAAGCAGGGCAAACGCCTCTATACCAACAGACACCTATACAAAAAGAAAACTCGACAACAGTAAAAATGAGGTGCAGGGCATGTCCTTGAAAGAAATTCAGGTGTTCCTTCTGACACTTTATGAAATTTATGACATTATTGGGTTCTGCTCCTTTCCCTAGAAAGTGAGTGTAACGGTAAAGACCCGCCCAAGGACACCCTGATTCTCTAAGGATAAAACCAGCACAGAGACACTGAGGATAGTGTCTGGCGATAAGTCAAAGGCTGTCCAAACATTTTCCCTGGCCACATGATATATTTCTCTATTACAAACTCGTACCATCCGATCTTAGTCCATTAAGGTTCTTCAAGATTCTTTTGACTGCATCCCGATCCAAATCTGTGGAGAAGTTTCGAACTTGTTTGACATGTCTAAATCAAAAACGCCGGCAAAGCGTGTCTCTCTCTCATTTTTCTTTAGGTCTGCAGGCGGAAGCTCCGGCGGCATAAATTATCTGCCGCTATGGATCTAAATTAAACAAAAACATTTGACATTGCCCACAGCTCAGACAAATCCTTTAAAGACAAACAAACGCAAGACTCGCCCGCTCTCAACTTTTTCACTCCCCATTTTCCTGGCAACATCCAAGGTTGTCTTACAAGGATTCGCCATTAAAAATGTTAATTAGTTGAGCAAACATTGCGATTGAGCTTCAACTGTGGCACTCTTTACTACAATGGGAGAATGCGATATTTAACATTTTTAATTAATGTGCAGATATAAAAAGCTCTTTAAATTCTGAATTTAAATTTTGAAATCCGTTTTTTAATTTTTATAATTTTTTGCACAATTCAAAATATTTAACTTTATTTAGAGATTGAAATACTTTATAAAAGAAAATGGTTAAAAAAATTGAAAGAGTTGTTTCTTTCAATTTTTAATCCAGTTATTAATAACATTTCTTTAAGGTGTTGAGGCACCTTGCAAGTTCTTTATCTAGATTGTATTCTTGTATTAAATATCTGCTGAAAAAAAGGTTTACTTGATTCGAAAAGTTTTCAGTTTATGAAATAAATTATTCAAATGAATTATAAATTATTAATTATGTTTGAACAATGAAATCGTGTTTTGTTTATAGAGCTTTTAAAAGAGACCTCCTATTCCATCGATTCCACTGTGCACTAATATCTGGTTCAATTTGGAATGTGAGAACGTGGCTACCGACTTGCGGTGCGGCATCCGCTTCGGCTGGGAGTTTGAGTTGGAGTTCGAATTCGAGTTTGGCCAGCGGACATCGCGTGTGCATGCAAATCGAAGGCAGCCGGAGATTGAACGCCAATTAGGATGAATGTTTGGGGCACGCCGCTCGTTCCCCCTCCATCACCATCCTTTTTAGACAGGCCAGACTGCATGACGCCGCGTGCCGCATGCCTCTGGATAAAAAAAAGAGAGAGGAGCGGACAGCCTCCTCTGCCTCAGTTGGCCATCATCGGTTGTCAGTTAATTGCTAAAAACTGTTCACACGTTCCAGGTGCGACTTTTGCATACTGTCCGACCTCAAGATGAAGTCCCAGTTCGGGAGGAAAAGAAGGAACACTGACCATTCCAGTCACGTCTGCAAAGTTGCGAGTGGAGGTCTCGGAAAATCAATATCAAAGAAGCAAGCCCGGCTTCCCTTCCGACTTTGCCACTTCCGCCAACGGACTTCATCCCCTAAAAGTGGCCAAGATGGAACAAGTCCCTCTGCTCTTTCACCAAAAATCGGGGGCGTCGAAAGTTGTTTTATTTGTGGCAATCTTTTTTGGAAGAAATTAAGCATGTACGGGTCGTACCGAGAGACCCAGTTATGCAAATCCAAGAAATCACAGGCCCAGCAACAGAGACTCATAAATATCGACGAATTCTACGAAATTGGTGGAGTCCCAGGGTCTTCGACAGGTGTGCTATTTAAATGCAAGCCAGCAACTGCCAAAAAAAGAGAGGCAAACGAAAAACAAACCGGCGTCCAAAATAAACAATTTGTAGGTCCCACTTATGGTCATACATGCACTCATCGAAATAGTTTTATCACAAGTTAAAAAAAAAAAGTAAGATTACGTTCCTACATGTTAAGAATATTTTTACTATGCTATCTAAATAGTTAACATTCATAATTTTCCTAAATGCCACTCATTGTAATCTGATTTAAAATCGATATGATTTTAAGATTGTAGATTTAACATATTACTTATCCAAATTCGAACAATTCGTAATAATTGAATTTGTCAAACAAAGATGATCTTCTCATTTCTAGCGTTTCTTCAAATGAAATCTTTAACATGAGATGATTTTAGGATTATAGTGCTAACATGTTTCTTTTATTTCTACTGCGCTATCCAAATTGTTATGGTTCATTATTTTACTATATGTCACTCAATATTTCCTGACTGAAAAACTGATGATGTCTAACGCTTCTTTGAGTGTAATCTCAATGCCCAACCCTCGCTTTGAAGGGGGCCTTTAATATGGCGAACACGTAACCCTCAAAACCGTTCGGATCGGTGGATCAGTGTGGATCGCTTGCCTCGATTTATTCGTTTGTTTTGCTTGGCTTTTCGTAATTTCCATTCGTAGCACTTTCAGCGAATCAATCAAAGCGACCCGATACGATCCGTCCAAGTCCAGAGCCGAGAAGGTCTTTGCCACATTCCCCGATTGACTGATAAACCTGTCGGGCCAAGG